CTGTGGTCACCAACTGCAGTCAGGTACCATGTGGCTGGGGAGCAGCATTTGTTCACTGCAGCTTGGAAACATAATTAATTTTGTGCCATTTACTTCACAATCATAATAAAAAAAAAAAATATTTCTCACTCCTTCAGCAGAGTTATTGATGCTGATGTGACCCTGGCAGGGTGAAATATCAACCACTGATTACATCAGAGCTCTACCAGTTACTTTCTCCTCTGATTGCAAGCAGCAGGATTTTCGACATACAGGCATTACAAACACAAATTGCTCTCTGTATTGTAAATACATAGTGCATTTTAATGATCCCTGCTGTATGTACATGCCTTTAGTAATAGGGCCAATTGAAAACCACTTCAGAAAGCTGCTATTGGTATCTTTGTAATAACCTCCTCATCTATACCAGCCAATAAAAGGTGCATTAGTTCTGGGTGTCCAGAAATACAGCTCACAGGATTGAAAGTCAAAGAATGCTTCATCTGTGACCCTTTAAATGAGAATTACTTTTTTTTTTTTTTTTTTTTTTGCCCTTCACCATCCATTTTAAACTTAGATCATACAGATACTTTAAGCGCTTTCCAGCAAAATGTCTTCAAAAAGCTCTCCACAGAGGCACAAAATCCTGGGCTTGCCTCAATCTCATTTGGGGTATTGTCATGAAGAAGAAAATAACCCTGGGGCTGAACTGCTCTGCTTGGGACTAAGAAATAAATTTAATGTCTCAAAGCTCCAGCTAAAAAATCCATTCAGGTGAAAATGAGGGCTGAATGTGGGCAGAGAGAGGCATAAGGCATACAGAGGAATAGCCAAGGTTCCTGGCTTGCATGACACACAACATATGCTCTGCCTTCTCCTAGAGGCTGCTCCACCCGGGAGCAGCCCACTGCTGCCTCTCAGTCGTGGAGAAGCTCCCAGCTCCTGCTGAGAATGTTTCTGCTTTCTGTGTGGAAACCCCCACGCCTGGGCCAGTACAGATATAATTTCCACAGCCCTCTGTATCTCTTTATATCCATTTTTATCCAGCAACTAATTATTTTCCTTGCATTCCTGTATGTGAGAGAGGATTAAAAAAAAAACCCAAAACCACAACAACAACAACAAAAAAAGAGATTGGGGATAAAAGAAGGGATTGGCCCCCAAGCTGCACACTCAGCAGCTGAGGTGAGAATGGAGCTGGTGCTTCCTGACAACCCGTCAGGTCCCCCATCTCACCCTGCCCAGATGGGTCTTGTCAGTGCAATGCATTTTCACTTGCAAGACAATTTCCATTTCCATCCGGAGTTTTTGCTGGGAAAGGCAGTTTTTTGCTGCTTTCTTGGCCCCAGTGCTATCGAAATCGACGGTCAGGCAGGCGCTGGCATCCCCGAGGAAAGGCTGGATCCGTGAAGCATAAGAAAAGATATTAAAAATAGGCCTCATTTAGAAATAGCAATCTGGGTTACAGGCTATGCAATTGGCTTGAAAATCCCCAGTTTGTTCAGATTTAAAGCATCTCCAAATTTGCAAGTTAGACAAACTTCTGTAAGTGCTCCTAGAATATTTTTTCAGCAAGTGAAACTCTCAGAACTCTGTTCATGCCATTTACATTCGTGCTTTAAAAGGGGGGGATAATAGAAACCTGTTACCTCACTTGTAAAGCAGGATTAACACATTCCCCTTTGAAAATATGATTGATGGTTTTCAAACAGCGAAGTTCTGCCTTTAGCTCAATTCTTTGGAAGGAAAAAGCAGGTGGAATCCTTTTCTCCCCAAAATGAGAAGAGAGATTTGCATTTACACCGGGAAGGATCCAGACTAAATGGAAGCTGAATGTGCCCATTTGCAGGCAGGGGTTTGCAGAACCTTCCCCTTGATCATCGAGTCCAGGAGGACTCGGGAACACCTCAGTGTGCTACTCAGCAGAGAGTTGTTAGCAGAACTTTGTCAGTCTAAAAAGTAAGGCAAAAATAGGACCAAATGATGTATACAGAGCTGCTGGACCTGTGTTTTCTCCTGTCTCAGGGCTTGCCTGACAGTAGCAAAGCAGGGGTGCCAACCTGTGTCTCCTGACCTTTGCTGTCCAGCTCCAAGCCCTGGAGAACACTCCCCTCGCTGCTCGATGGCGTGTGCTAGGTCAGGGAAAATCTGGATGCACCTAAAATGTGTCCTGAGCCCCAGTTCAGCTGGATCCTCAGCAAACTGAGAGAAGGAACCACATTGCTCAGGCTGGGGCAGCAGCAGTGGGGGTCTGTAAATCCCCTTCATAGCCCAAGGACAGCCCCTTACCACAATCTCCTGGTACCTGACAGCAAAATTCTCTATTTATGGCAAATGGATGCAGTTGTGCTGCAAGTGGCTACAAGGAGATAACCTTAAAGAGAAAGATTTTTTTTTTTCCAGGATTTGCAGTTCTAAAAAAATATATTCATAATTTACTTCTGTTGGCTACTTGTGTGTCATTTTGTGTATCCATGCTGCACTGGTTCTTTGCACTCCTTGCCTAGAAGAAATGTTAAAAAATAAGAAAAGGAAAGGAGTACGTGTACCAATAACAGTCCAAAATCTACTCTTTCCTCCTCTAAAAAAAAGAAGAGGGAAGGGAAGGGAAGGGAAGGGAAGGGAAGGGAAGGGAAGGGAAGGGAAGGGAAGGGAAGGGAAGGGAAGGGAAGGGAAGGGAAGGGAAGGGAAGGGAAGGGAAGGGAAGGGAAGGGAAGGGAAGGGAAGGGAAGGGAAGGGAAGGGAAGGGAAGGGAAGGGAAGGGAAGGGAAGGGAAGGGAAGGGAAGGGAAGGGAAGGGAAGGGAAGGGAAGGGAAGGGAAGGGAAGGGAAGGGAAGGGAAGGGAAGGGAAGGGAAGGGAAGGGAAGGGAAGGGAAGGGAAGGGAACCTTTTTCCTAGTATTACACTTTTCTCAACAAACATCTGACAGGGCTGCATTTTTCTCTGAATAATTTTTTCCAGCATGCCTAGAAAGTTCACCTCTCCAACTTAGTCAGAGGCAAGGTCCCACGTTTAATGTTTTGCAACAAGTTGCCTGTTTTGCTGGTGAGAGCTTTTTGCTTTATCTCTATTCCTGTAGCTGGAAACAGTCACTGTTCTCATACCACAGCAGGGCTACAGCTTGTTAAGGCTGGAAGCTGGAGCTGGGAATGGCCCCTGGGAATGGGGCTGGAGCTGTTTGTTTGCTGGATTTCACATTCATTGCCATTCTGCCCTTGTTGTGGTTTTAACATTTGATGACCTAGGTATCTCAGAAGGCTGTTTTGCCTCAATAGGCGTGTGATGAATTGCTCTTAATTAGCTTGTGGAAATAATATAAGCCTGAGCATTAAGCATGCTTTGTTAGGGTTTTGACATCTTCTTTTATATGTACATCTACAAATAAAATCAGGTAGATTAGCAGTCACTAGGAAATTGTTGTTGTGAGTCACTGACTCACAGCTCCTGCAGGCTGTGTCTCCTTGTCTTTGTTAGTCATGCCCGACTGTGGGCAGGCGTTCATGGGGCTCCGGGGCTGGGGTCAAATGTGTCTATTTTGTCTCTAGGGACAGGTTTGCCTTCAAACTCATCCCCATCATTCCAGCTGGAAGAGCCAGGTGGCTCCACCGCAATTCAAACCAGAGTGTGAGCAAAACCACAGCGGTGGAGCTCACCTGGTTTTGTCTTCAAGCACAAGCTCCAGCCTTCAGGTGGCACCGATGCATCCATGTGATGGAAGGATATAAGAGTCTGAGCTCAGACCCCAGGGTCACTTATCCTTCTGGTCCCATTTAAAGGCTGGCTGGTAAACACCAAATCTCAAATCTTTGCTCTAGGTCACAAGCTTGATCCCTCCAGGTTTGTCACTGCCAGCCATCCCCGTACGCCCTGGATGCTGGAGGTGCCTGTTCACTTAGGAGAGGGTAATAATTAGTAACAGCTCTCAGGAAACTCATTTCTGTGCTCTTGGACCTTGGCAGTTCCCTGAAAGGAAGGGATAGCCTGAGGAAAGAATGGAAATGAGCTGGAAGTGGGAGGGTCAGCGGGATTTTCATAAAATCATAGAATTCTAGAATGGTTGGACTGGAAGGCACCTTAAAGACCACCTAGTTCCACCCCTGCACCACAGGCAGGGTCTTCAACTATTCAGGGTGCTCCAAGCCCTGTCCAGCCTGGCCTTGGACACTTCCAGGGATCCAGGGGCATCCACAGCTCCGGTGGGCCACCTGTACCAATGACTCGCCCACCTCACAGGGAAGAAGACATGTCTCCCTAAAAGAGAGGAGACATCCTCTCAGGCCACTTCCAAGCCACCCCCCTTGCCCTGTTGCTCCATGCCCTTGCCAAATCCCCTCTTGTCCAGCAGGGATGCGGGAGCGGTGTGTGGATGCGGGAGCGGTGTGTGGATGCGGGAGCGGTGTGTGGATGCGGGAGCGGTGTGGATGCGGAGCGCTGTGGACGCGGAGCGCTGTGGGGATACAGGAGCGCTGTGGACGCGGAGCGCTGTGGATGTGGGAGCGGTGTGTGGATGCGGAGCGCTGTGGATGCGGGAGCGGTGTGTGGATGCGGGAGCGGTGTGTGGATGCGGGAGCGGTGTGTGGATGCGGAGCGGTGTGTGGATACAGGAGCACTGTGGATGCGGGAGCGGTGTGTGGATGCGGAGCGCGGTGGATGCGGAGCGCTGTGGATGCGGAGCGCTGTGGGGATGCGGAGCGCTGTGGGGATGCGGAGCGCTGTGGATGCGGAGCGGTGTGGGGATGCGGGAGCGGTGGATGAAGGAGCGGTGTGTAGATGTGGAGCGGTGTGGGGATGAAGGAGCGCTGTGTGGATGCGGAGCGCTGTGGATGCGGGGCCGGCGCCGCTGCCCAGCGCATCTCCCGGAGCGGGCAGCGGCGCTCCCGGCGCGGGGCGGGCGGAGGCTCCGCGGGGAGCGGCGGCGGGGCCGGGGCGGGGCGGGGGGCGGGCCCGGGCGGCGGCGGCGGCGGCGGCGGGGCTGGGGCGGCTCAGAGCGCCCGGCTCCGCTCGCCTCCCCGCTCCTGCGCCTGGCTCCGGCCGGCATGGCCGCTCCGCCGCGCCGCCGGGCCGCCGCTCCACCCCCGGTGCTGCCGCCGGTGCTGCTGCTGCTGCTGCTGCCGCCGCCCGCGGTGCTGCTCGGCGGCGGGCCCGGCGCCGCGGCGTCGCGGGAGCCCCCCGGCCCCTGCCGGGTGAAGACGGTGACGGTGTCCACGCTGCCGGTGCTCCGGGAGAACGACATCAGCTGGAGCGGCGCCCCGCCGCCCGCCGCCGCCTCCGCCGAGTCCCGCCTGCTGCTCTTCGTCCGCAGCGAGCTGCCCGGCCGCGTCGCCGTGCAGGACGATCTGGACAACACCGAGCTGCCCTTCTTCACCCTCGGTAGGCGCCCGCCCCGTCCCGTCCCGTCCCGCATCCCGCCCCGCCATCCCGGAGCATCCCCGAGCATCCCACACCCGCCGTGCCGCCTCTGTGTCCGCCCTCCCCGCTCCGCGGGCAGCTCGATGTGTTTTGGGGCTTTCTAACCCTGCCCCTGTGCTGCATCCTGGGTTTTGGGTTTATTTTTTTTTTTTTTATTTCGCCTTTCATGCCGGGGAGGGATTTTTTAGCAGGGCCTGAGGCTGCCGCCGCTGCCGGCCCCGGGAGGAGGAGAGCATTCCCCGGGAGGAGGAGAGCAACCCCGCGCAGGCTGGAAGTGATGGGGGCTGCCTCGTGTGCTCCAAGTTGAGCTCTGAGCCCCGAGGAGGTGCCGCTGAGCCTGGCACAGCGGGAGGGGCTGTTTTTTTCTAGCCAGAGCTTGGTTTTATTAAATGCTTCGTGTTAATTCTCGAGGCTCGCTCTCGCTTCACGCACAACTCCGGCGCCCGGGTCTGTGCGAACGCTGCAGACTTTCCTCCGCTCTCGGCTTTGTGGGGAGGGGGATGGGAATAGAAATAATTCTGTGGTCGTACTTCGGATCCTGTTGTCTCGGATGGGGTGCCCGAGCTGCCTCTTGTCACTTTTACCCATTTCTGTGCCAGTCCTCCGAGAGAGCTGTGCCTAATGTCATCTGGGCAGTGCAGTGTTTACTCTGCCAGGTCACCGAAGGGTTTTTGTTGATCTTTGCTTTATCCAGCAGCTGCCCTGTTTTTTGGCATCCAAACCTAGAATAATTTGGGTACCTGCTTAACTCGGGTCTCAGGTATCTCTTGACACGCTGGGTTGTGACTTCAGCGGATCTCTCTGTGTGTCTCAGGTGTGTCGAGGTGTGCCCATGTCCAGGCTCACTGGGGACAGCTGACCCCAAATCCCTGCCTTTCACTGGGTGCCATGATCAGGGGTAGGGAAATGCCTGTCTGGGTCCCCCAGTCCTGTCATTTTACCTTGTGTGAAGCTTTGCTGTAGCAAACGCCCTAATAAATAAGTTGGTGGTACTTCCTGAGGCTCTCGGGCTCCAGCTTTGCAGTTTCCTTAGACGCGGCTGGTCAACTATAAAAATCCAAAACAAACCAGATACTCAGTTTCCACTAACAAAAGTGACAAATGAAAGGTTTGATGCAGTAGGAATGACGTTTACCGTACCCTGGTTAAAAGTAACAAGAAGTTTCGTGGTTCACTGAGTTAATTTTCAGATTAGAGTACAATTTCTTCAGAGACTGGGTGTGAATTGCGCACTGATCTAAATATATCAGATAGCAAAGAAACCCCTCTGTGTGAGCTTAGATAATAGCTCAAGTTGAAGGAGAGAAATTTGTCTTGATAGATCAGAGGCACGATCTTGTGTAGCAAATCCTATTTCTGTGAGTGCCTGCCAGTAAAGAGACCATGTCTTAATCTAAAAATTTCTTTTACTTGCCTGGCATATTGGTTATGTGTGTACTCATAAATATGAAGCATGTCTGTGCAAGTCTCTGGGGGTTTTCCTGCCCCTTCATGAACAGAAGACCCCAAAAGATCCTCTCCCGTTCCCTTGGACTCACAGGCGTGAGGCAGATTGGAAGACAAACGGAGGCTGTGCCCATGGTGGGATGGCTTCATCATGGTCCTGGAATTAATCAGTCTGTTGCCTCCAGAGAAGGTAAAACACTTGTCCTTCCCCAAGGTCTAGCTCATGAATTGCTGTGGATGTTCTGATATTTGAAATTTGTTGCATTTCTCCCCATCTCCTGTCTCGCTCGCAGTTAACTCTTCTCTGGGTGAGGGCTGTGGAGGATTTCTGCTGGCTGGTTTTCCTAGAGCAGGAATTAAGGCTGTAGTTTTCTGTGGTGGTTTTTTCCCCCCTCCATCCTTTTCTAACTTCATTGATGGCTGGGAACCGGAGAGCAGCTGCTGCCTAGTAATGGGCTCGTGGCGGTGAAAATCATGTTACATGCAGGAGGGCTTGGGAGTGAGGTGGAGACAGAGATTCTCTTTGGCAGAATCTTTGCAGGTCCTTATCTTTAGCTGATTTCTGATGCTTGTATCCCTTTATGCGTGTTGCTGGACATGTTTAGTGGCTGTCTGGGCATGAGCTCAGGAGGACACGTAAGAGCTGACGTCCTGCCGGCTGCAAATGTGTTGAGGACTCCTGAATGTCTCGGAGTGCAGGATCTTGCTGTGAGGAGAGATCACTTTCTGGCCTCAGCAGGGTAAGGATGGGGCAGGATGACCTCCTAAAGCACACAGCTCAAGACAGCCACTCTGACTGCCATCCTGGAGGGGTTCTTGAAAGGAAAAAAATATTAAAAAAAAAAGAAAAGGAAGCATAAAGCTGTCAGAGCTGAGACATGGTGCTGATGCTACTTACTCTGAAGTGAAATAAGTTGAGAAAAAATTGAGGCCACTTCGTTCTGCAGGGCTCAAAAGTGTCTCCAGGCCAGGAGGCAGGAAAGAAAATGTTGCTTTTCTTGGTGGCAATGAGTTTAAGTGGCTAGGGCTGTACTCCTGGGTCTGCTCAGCAAGTCCCAGCTCACTAAATGGCCCAGTGCTGCAGTGGTTTCTGTGCTGCTCCTCACTCCTTACCATTTAAAGGAGGGTGGGTGATCTGCAGCTAAAGGCTGGCAGGTGCCAGAGCCTTGTCTGCAGTGGTGTGAAACTTAAAGTGATGGAATCATGTAAGTTGGGAAAGATCTTTAAGATCATCGAGTTGAACTGCAAACTTAACACTGCCAATGCCACCACCAAACCATGTCCTGAAGTGCCACATCCTCCAGGTAGATGCCCTGAATTGGTAGCTGGTACATGGAGTGCTGCGTGTCCCTTATCTTTAAAGGATTCCTCCTTCTAGGGAGAAAACAACTCTACCTGTTCCCTGACTATATGAGATTTTATTCTCTGAAGTGCATAAAGCGAGAGCTTCCAGTGTAGCACCCCTGCCTGTGGGGCTGCCTGGTCTGCAGGACCACTGCATGGCTGAGATAGAGGAGAAATCAGCACTAGGAAACATCCACAGAGCTGAGCCTGGGCCCGTGGCACGCTGGCAACATCAGCAGCAGCAGCAGCAGCAGCTCGTGGAAGGCAGGAGCCCACTAGGGGGTGGTGGGTACCCGGGGATGCTCCACAGCAGCTCCTCTCCCTGTGCCCAGGAGGGTACCAGGGATGCTCCACAGGAGGGTACCAGGATGCTCCACAGGAGGGTACCAGGAATGCTCCAAAGGGGGGTACCTGGAGATGCTCCACACTCTCCCTGTGTGCCCATGTGGGCACTTCAGGCTGCTGGACAGCAACTCCAGCTCTTTGTGCCTTGGTGGGCACCCGGCACCTGCAGGAAGGTGGGGAGCCCAGGCTGGGGATGGCTTCATGCTCTCCCAACAAAGGTAGAAAACTTTGATTCTTTGTGCATCCCTCCTGGGCTGCAGTGGGGACCTGCTGCTGAAACACCCACTGGCAGCTCCCTGTGCTCGGTGTCCCTCCTCCAGTGGGGTGTCACAGCTTCTGTGTTTCCTACGCCTCGGTTTATTTTTTCCCTCTTGCGTCGGAGACAAGAAGGATGCTTCTCCCACTACCCCCCAGTTACATTACTATAAAATTACTCAGCAAAGCCCAGTGGTGGCAGGAAATGACAAATGTAGGTGCCACCAGTGCGTTATGAATTGCTGTGCCTCCCCTTTCCTGAAAAAGCATCCTGCCCTTTCCTTAACCTTGGATACTCCTGATGCTTTGTGGCTTTTACCCCTCCCTCGCTAATTCTCCTAGAGTTACTCTGCTGCAAACGGTGCAGCCTGTCAATGGCTTTATCCCTGCCCAGTGAGGTCTCTGTGAGGCATGGATTTGGTTCAGGCAGCAGCCCTGTGTTCCCTACAGAAGCTGCTCCACCACGGCGTAGCCTGCTCCGAGTGCAATCCAGGGAATGAGGCAGTTTGCTGCCGAGCTAATTGAGATGAGCTCTGTCTATGTGTGAGCAGCTTTATATAGAGGAGGGAGAAGGCAAGAGGCAGGCCAATTTTCACCACTGCTCTTACCCTGTAGTGGCTTACATAAGAACAGTTTACTATGCACTTCTCATAAATGGCTTTAATGGATGCTGTTTGAGGGCGTCTGCAGTGCTTCAAGAGGCTTTGTTTTGGTGGTTGTCACCAAACAGGCTCGTGTGTCTGCATTCCTGGTGTCCCCCTGTGGCCCCTGTGTGTGGCTGATTGATGACTGTCCCCTGCTCTTGCAGCTCCTCAGCAGTTCAGTGCCACTTTTTTATCTTCTTTCTTAACTCTTCTCAAAGTCATCTTCTAACTTGCACTTCTCCTCTTTAGGGCAGTGTTTATTCTTGAAGGAGCACCTGGACGTGGCACTCAGGGCTCTGGGCTGGGTGACAATGTGCTGGGGGTCAGTCACAGGCTGGACTCGATTATCTTGGAGGCCTTTTCCAACCTCAGTCATTCTGAGTTTCTATTAATACATTAAAATAATGGAAAGCACTCTGTTCCCTGTGGGCTGACTCTTTACTGCTGTTCCTAGAAATGCTTGAGCAGGATTTAGCCACCCTCATTTTGGTCATCAGCTCCTGCAGAGCAGGTGGGGAGGCTGAAGGGTCACCTGGGGAGCGTGGGTGTGACTGCAGCTTACTGATGCTGCTGTTCAGAGGTGCCTTCCCTGCTTTGAGCTGGCCTGTGAGGTCTGAAGCAGCACTGTGTGGGTGCCTCATGTGCAACCCCATCCTCAGGGCTTGGCATCTACACGTGGGGTCACCTCTGCAGAATAGCTGATGAGCAGAGTCTGGTTTCTGCACCTCCCTTTGCATTAACTGCCTCCTGCTAGGCTTGAGATGCCTGGAGTATCAGCTCAGAGGTTTGGTTAATCAAGTGTTGGTGGTTTTTTTTGTTTTGTGGTTTTTTTGTGTTTGATGTGTTATGTTTTTTTTTTTCCTGTTTATATTGTTTCTGTTCCCCAGCTAATCCAATGGGTAAAGAGTCACATCTTCCACCCCAAAA